GGGTAGGCCCATAATATGCTGCAGATAAATACTCCTCAAAATGTAATGATGTTAGAAACGTAAATATCATGACATTTTTAAAGTTATGAATTGTGATGAGTTTTTGAAATAGCAATAAGAAATTATCGCAAAAGATCTACCATTATTATCCTGATAACATCGAGTCATTTATTCTAGTATATATAAGAATGAGCTATGCTGTAGGTAACGCCTAAAAACCGAAAAGATTTAAATACGTACGGATTCTTAAAAATATTCATAGTTATTTTCTATTATTTTACGAAATAGAATATATTTAAATCTGCAAAATTTTTAAAAAATAAATTTAAAAAATGATTTGAGAATTACATTGTAATCACATTTATTGTGAAAACCCAAACATCAGTTGTTTTTAGTGCATTTTTAGTGCATTTTTAGTGCGTTGTTTGTGTTACAAAATGAAATTAAAATTATTTTTTTCTAAATAAACACGCAAATGTCGTCATAGCAAGAATCGTCTATCTTAGGCAAAACTCTCACGTTTTTTTTTGATTTAATAATAACTGCGCTTTACTTAACTGATAATGTGTTTCCTTCTACTTAAAAGGAAAACTAATAAATATAATTGATTAATTTTTAAATTGTTCATAAAACATACAATCATTTTAGCTTTGTATTTTTAACATTTAATATGTTTTTACTTTTTAAAATTCCAAAAATAAACTTTAAAAAAAATTATAACGAAATAAAAATGTAACCTTTAAATATACTTCTAATAATAAAATGCCGTTTGAGTCAATCAGTTCAGCGAAACTCCATAGTTAAATAGCATTCACTAAAGCACTTATCAACTCATCAAATAAGAACAAACCATATGAAGTGCAAAATATTTTAGTTTGGGTATGTAATTGACTAAAATTCGATGGAAGATTTTATTAATTTTATTAAATCTAGACGGAGGGGGGGGCATGGTCATTTTGCCCCAGGCAGCACAAGATAATTCTCAAAATAACTGAATGAAATTGATAAATAATTAACCTTTTTGGGTAAATACATGTCGGAGGTAGGAAATAGGATGTGTACATTTTTACGTGGATGACAATATGTTTAAATCATATTGAAATACATTTGGGAAAAAAGGGATGTTTAATTCACTTTTTACAAATAAACACATGTTTACCAATCAAGAAAATCAATGCCATTAGAAAAACTTGCGTACATTTATATAAGTATACCCATGAATATCAAAACCCAATTGTTTTACACGCTTGAAAATTTAATTTTTTTTTAAATGGAGATCGGTTAATATATTCTTTCAAAAGAAAAAAAAATGAAAACAAAAATAAAAATATATTTTGTTTTTACTTTGCGAAAAGTAATGTCGGTATGTATTTTACGAGATAAACAATTTTATTTTAATATAAAGACACTCAAGTCTGTGTGTTTAAATTTTTGATGAAGTTGTTAATATATCAAATTCCTTTAAAATAAAATATATTTATATGACATGTAGAGTTTTTGTTGTAAATTTAAGATTATGTTTTTTAACAATTTTTAGAGAAATAAATAATTGTAATTCAAGGACACGAAAGCAGGTAAATTTAAAGTATTTCTCTAACGTAGAAATCTACCCTCAATTAGCTTCTTTAGTGACAAAAGTGACATAATTAGTGATAATTTAGATTGGCTAATTTAAGATCATGTTTAGAGGGAAAAAAAAAGTTTAGGGGCGTGAAAGGGAGTAGGGTAGGCGTCTAATATATAGCAGAAAGATACTTCTCAACACTTAATGATGTTAGAAAGGTAAATATCATTATATAGATATATCTTTATAAAGTTATGAATTGTTATGAGGATTTGCAATAGCTGGTAGAAATTATCACAAAGGGACTACCATTATTATTCCGATAATATCGGGTCATTTATTCTAGTAATTTCCCATTTAAAGAAACAAGACCTAGAGTATAAAGCATAGACTTATAGGATTTTACGCTCATTGCTAAAAATGTGCTTCTGTGTGTTTTTAGTGTGCACTAAGAATACAAGTGATTAGGAAATGGGAAACAATATCAACGTTCAAAACATTGGGAATTTAACATTCAATTTATTGCAAAGATATCTTCATCGATTCCAGAAAGCTAAGACAAATTCCTGATTAATTCTAGTATATATACAAGTAGATAGTTTACCAGATTTGATTTCCGACCGAGTAAAGGAGCTCGCGGTGATGTCCTCGGTTTTCGGGTTGCTCGGATCGTTGTTGTACTTGTATATACTCCACTGGTACTGCGCCTCTAGTAGGTCCTTCTCGGTGCATGACGGACATGTGATCACGCTTTTAAGTATTATTCTTTCCCTAGTCAGCAGCTTCTTTTTGCAGTTCCACACGCATCTGTGTAGAGAACACGTTGTGGCCCAGATAAACTTATTATGATTGGGATGTTTCATCACCTGATGCTATGCATTATATGCAGAGTCGTAGTGTGGGCCCTGCAAGTACTGCGGCCGCATAGGGACTCGATACTAGAGGAGCCGAATTTTTTAATGCGGAAAAAATATAAATTCGACTTTGAATTCAAAACCGAAAATAAACAAGTTTCCCCCTATTGTCAAGTGACAGCTCTGATATCAGATGACAATGCTTCAAGACGATTGCTCAAAAATTTCATGCTTTCACTATCTCAACACACAATTACCAAAACATTGAAACAGCATACTTATGCATAGACTTATAGCGCCCCCCCTCCCCACAATTTTTAAAGCAGCACACGTCCTTGTTATGGTAAGAATACCATTTAAATGGTTTCTGGTACGAATTGCTATTTGAAAACGCCGTTTAATAGCTTCGTTTAGTCTAGGGGTAATTCGTAACAACAGCACGATCAATAGTTGATCTGGTTCCTTATTGAACAACACGACAGTGTGCCTTCTTCCTCCTACACTCTCTCTCTCTCTCTCTCTGCATCTCACTAACAACTGAAACCATGACAACGAACACGCCACCGACCATACACTAAACAGGCCCGCACCTAGGAAATTGTGGGCCCCGAGGAGCTGAAGGATTCGGGACCTTTTTTGTGTTTCCAACATGTGCTTCAATTTACTCTTCCCTTGATTTTGTCCAGTTGGTCCGTCTCTGCAGATTCAGCAAAATTAAAACTCGAAAAAGGGCGGGCTTAAATCTAGCTCAGGCCCCTGACAAGTGCCCTGATGCCCCTACCCCCCCCCCCTTTTTTTTCAAGAGTTGGGTCTGCCCTTACACTTCACCAATACAAATCAACTATCAACAGTATTCAGCAAAATTAAAACTCGAAAAAGGGCGGGCTTAAATCTAGCTCAGGCCCCTGACAAGTGCCCTGATGCCCCTACCCCCCCCCCCCTTTTTTTTCAAGAGTTGGGTCTGCCCTTACACTTCACCAATACAAATCAACTATCAACAGCAACCGCTCCACAATTAATCTCCACACCAAATACGCTCACAAACATATCAAGACACAAACCACAAACCAAAGCACACACTCATTAAACAAACCATTTACATTTTAACAAACCTCATACTTCAAACGAAGGCGCTGAGTATTTTAAATGATGTTTAAACATATTTTTAAAACTACATATTTTCACTGCATTGACAATCCTTTCAGAGTTGCGTTTTTTTTTTCATTTTTAGGATGTACTTTAATGTTCTATAATATAACCAGTGGATGTATACTTCAATCATCTTTTAAACTATTTGCTGTTTTGCATCCTATTTTTCATGTTGATTCGTGTTGCAAACTAATATCTCATTATGAACCCGTCTCATTATGATCCCATCTCGTTATGAGCCCATCTCATTATGAGCCCATCTCATTAGGCTCCCATCTTATTGTCAGTCCATATCATTTTGAGCCAATCTCATTCGAGCGTAGGGGGAGAGAAGAATTTTTTAAAAATAAAATTAAAGAAATTAATGTTTATCATTATTACAAATATGCTTGAAAATCTACTTCTTAAGGCCTCACAAAAAATATAGGGGCTCAAAATTTATTCTAAACAATCGCAATTTTAATCAAAGAAACGAATTAAATAATATATAAAGAGAATATTCTTGAAGTTTGGTGTTATTTTTGCAATCAGGGATCTCCAATTTTCATAAAGTTTAAGCTCTCAACAAAGTCTAAAATTAAAGGCCCAAAATCATGAATGCAACGCTCCATTGTATAGAGGCATAAATAGATTATGTCTTAAAAACGATTTTATTTCTGAATACTCACTCGATAACAACGATTGGGGGTTCATTTGCCAACAGTTCAATGGCCTGAGTGGCTATGTCAAATCTACCATTCTTCTGCGCGATCACCTCAATCAGTAGAAGATCGTTTACTTGAAAACCAGACGCATCAAAATTAATAACATCCCCAGGGGCCATCTTTGTGTTTTTGGTGCAGTTGGGCAGCGATCTGTAGCTCATGTCATTGTTGTAAGGCTGGGTGTATCGTGGTATAGCATCGCTTGAATTCAATTTGTAGCAAGCCCAGGAAAAACTTAGCTTAAAAGTTTTGTCAGCAGGATCTCTGGAATGCGAGCTAGCGTTCAAGATTATTTTGTCTCCCAGCTTGGCTTGACGAAAGACGCCGCGACCGATGCCCGCCTCGATAGGCGGAAATGTAACGTTCATGAACATGACGTCACTCTCTTTCTCTTTTCGACCAATGACGGACATATTTATCGTAATTCTATACATGCCGACGTCTTTGATGACAGGACTGAAATCAAATGCTATGGCGCTTTCGTTTTTAGTTGACAATGGCACGGACGTCCAGTTGGTGGTAAGGTTTGACGTAACAAGTTTGAATAACTTCCATTCGATGAGAAATTTGTCGGAGCTGTTGCAACTGATTGTTCTCTCTGCCCTGGCGCTTATTGTCGGTATTGTTGACAGCCAAACCTTCAAGGGCGTATCCATCTCCCTGTACGTTAGATCGAATAAATCTACGGTTGAAATGCAAGGTACATACGTTTCGAAATCATATGTCGCCGCCTCTAGCACCCCGTCATAATCCACCACGGCAATGGCCTGATTGGGACCCACATCTGTGTACATGGTTTCAGTTTGAACGGTTCTCACATTGTAATCGAATGTTTTCTGGTCGTTTCTTGGGTTCATTTGAAACGTTGCGTTGAAGGTTTCATTTGACAGGACTCTTACAAGGTTAAAGACGGTTGGTTCGTTCACTCGTATAAGACGTCGGTGCTTTTCCTGGAAAAAATCAAGAATCAAACCAACTCTTATCATCAGCTTTGTGGAGCTATTCTGACCATATGCTTGGAAGTAGACGTCAATGCTGTAGTTACCCTTGGCTTTGTAAATATGTGTGTATGACATATTCGGCGACGTGAAAGGGAATGACATGGCAGTAGCGTTGTCCCCAGAATACACAGAGATGATTAGATCAGTGTAATTCCCGCTGAGGTACTTATGGGTGATTATCACTTTTCCATTTCCCTCCGATGTGTCCTTGGCGAATGGCACCAGGTTTTTTTCCATAACAGCACCGGCGTCACCAGCTGGGGATATTATGTAGTAGCGGGCAGTGCTGCTTGCTGTGATATGGTAGAAAAAAAAACAAAAAATAGAATTAAAACTAAAGTCCAACACACACAAAAAAAATATCCAAAGTGAAGAGATATAGTTTAAAAATGATTATTTTTTTTTCTCTTTAAAGTTTGGGGCACCATCAATCTTTATTGATAGTTTAGTAAATCAAATGTCTAATTGTCCCGAATGAAACCGAAGATGGGGATTGGGGAGGGTGGGACCATAAATTCCTTTGTGAACGTGAGATCCCCATAGAAGCGTAACGTCATAGGCCATTGCCAACTGTGCCAATGCCTTAAGATGGGTCTGCTAAAGGTACATTTTGATGCTATATTATCCGAAAAAGTTTTAAAAATTAAAAAAAAAAACGAAAATAGTGCCCTCTTGCCCCAGCACACCTCCAAACACACGCAAAATTAACACGAGTTGAGGCGTTACTAAAAATAACATCATATATTTTTATCTATTATTCTTTATGAAGATGGATAGATTTTACCTTCAGAGTCTTTGCTGAAGCAGTAAACAGACGCCTTGTATTTGCCGATGTTTTCGTAGCTGTGATTTCTGGCGTAGATGTATCCTGTTTTTCTGTCACGGCTCAGTATAATATTTGCCTCCGTCAGGTTGACCGTACCGTCCCCCCAGTTAAGGGTACAGTTGACCTATCAGAAGAAAGATAAATCTTGACACATTTCAATACACTTAGTAAAATATCGTATTGATGAAAGTGTACGAAAGGCCGTGGCGTAAGAAGTGGGGTGTGGAGGGAACAGTCTGCCCGTATACGAAAGGCCATGGCGTAAGAAGTGGGGCTTGGAGGGAACAGTCTGCCCGTGTACGAAAGGCCGTGGCATAAGAAGTGGGGTGTGGAGGGAACAGTCTGCCCGTGTACGAAAGGCCGTGGCGTAAGAAGTGGGGTATGGAGGGAACACTCTGCCCGTGTCATGCACTTATTTTCTTCACATGACTGCCTTTTCGGACAACTGTACAGCTTGTTGTTTTTTTGTTAAGGTTTTGATGCAAAAAGCGAGGCCTACCCCGGATGGCACTAGTCCTAGCAAGGCCACTGCCACAATGGGGTTGAGGTGAAAACTTTGGCCTGCCTTGGGCGGCACTGGTCCTAGCTAGGCCACTGCCTCAATGGGGTTCAGGTGAAAACTTTGGCCTGCCTTGGGCGGCACTGGTGCTAGCTAGGCCACTGTCTCAATGGGGTTGAGGCGAAAACTTTGGCCTGCCTTGGGCGGCACTGGTCCTAGCAAAGCAACAGCCTCAAGGCTTTTTATAAATTAGCTACTTGATTTTGTAATTTTGTAGTCAATTTTAAAAAAAAATGCTTTTTAAAATCTTAATCGTTTTACCTTCTTTTGGGTGATAAAAGTCCCGTTAGGCTTTAACGCAAATCCGACGAGTTCCTTTGGATAAAAAGTACTTGTTTGTCCCCGGTTTGGTGTGATCTCAAAAGTAGGATCTAAAATATTATAAATTTCTTAAATATTTTTTTTATTTTTAAATATAACACATTTTATTATAAAGGGACATCAAGGCTTTCAACAAATCAACTTGCAATAATATATGCTTTCTTTTGGTTCGTTCATATTCGGCGACATATTTTTTTACCGTACCACTAATTATATTCCTTCACTTTTGTAATCCTACTTCCGATAACAACAATTTTTTTTTTTTTTTTTTTACAGTTGTATTTTCATTTGTCATGTTCGCTGAGGAAGGCTCTAAGCTGAAAATTTCACATTTTATCTTCTTGTCTTTTTTTTCAAGCTTTAATATAACTTGTTCTATTATGTCATTTAAAAATGCAACATTGTGTCTGTTNTTCCGATAACAACAATTTTTTTTTTTTTTTTTTTACAGTTGTATTTTCATTTGTCATGTTCGCTGAGGAAGGCTCTAAGCTGAAAATTTCACATTTTATCTTCTTGTCTTTTGATTCAAGCTTTAATATAACTTGTTCTACTATGTCATTTAAAAATGCAACATTGTGTCTGTTCCTTTCTGTGCTGTGGGGACTGAAATTTTGTTTACGCTCTGAGCCGATCACCTTCTCCTGTCCTGTTATTGTGATAGCGACACCATCAGAAGAAACAGTATCATTATATGGCCAATCTACAATCAAAATATGTGTTGTGGATGGCTGGTCCTGCTTAAGAAGGGATCAACACATTTTGACGTAAAAAAAAAAATAAAATAAAAAAAAAAAAAAAAAAAAAAAAAAAAAAACAACTCAACAAAAAAAAAAAAAAAAAAAAAAAAAAAAAAAAAAAAAAAACAAAAAAAAAAACAACTCAACAAAAACATAAAAAACCCACGCATGAGACACGATTGTTGATGTAAAGAAAGCAGTCTTACTCACCCACAAAGAATGGTCCGACTGGATGGAAGGCGCCCACTGTAAACGTTGTGACCACGGTGTCTTCACAAGGACATGTGACGTTCACTGATACTGTGTAGTTTCCTTCATTGTTGGGGACGAAAGACACAGTTCGACCGTTCACACTATGCGGCACTTCAGTGACGTTACCTTGGTAATCACTGATGGGATCACTATCGTTTTGAAAAGTTACCTAAACACAGTAGAGCAATGTGCTCGTTTATAGTTCTGCATCGAATATATATAAATGCTTGCTTTATGCAATACAATGATCACGTGGGGAAAAAATAGTTTAGTGATAAAATTAAAAATTACTTATTGTAATTCAGAACATAAGGCCCTGATAAACGGTGTCGCCATAAACAGTGTCATCCTAAACAGTGTCATCATTAAACTGTGTCATCACAAACAGTGACATCATAAACAGTGTCATCATAAACTATGTCATCATAAACAGTGACATCATAAACAGTGTCACCATCAACGGTGTCATTCGTATACAGTGTCATCACAAACGTTGTAGTTATAAATAGTGTCCACGCAGACGGTGATGCCGTACAGTGTCAGTCGTCACAAACGGTGTCCGCATCTTTAACAGTGTCGTCATACACGGAGTCCTAATCTTTAACTGTGTCGTCATACACGGTGTCCTAATCTTTAACTGTGTCGTCATACACGGTGTCACAATCAACGGTGTCCTCAAACTTAATATCTTGAGTCATATGAATGACACTAAACATCTTAAGTCAGATGAATGCCACTAAACACATTGATCCCAATGAATGACACTTAACATGTCAGGCCATATGAATGACACTAAACACCTCGAGCCAGATGAATGACACTTAAATTCTTGATTCAGTTGAATGTCATTAAACGTCTTGAGTCCGATAAATAACAATTAACACTGTGAGTTAGATGAATGTCACTAAACAGCTTCAGTCTGTTCAAACGGCACACCATATCTTGAGTCTGATAAATGAAATATGTTGAGTGTGATGAATGACACTCAAAGTCAATATGTCCATAACACGTCGTTGAATGTGATAAGTAGCCGCTGTGGTATTATTATGTATTTCAGGAATATCGTTCTCAAATTAGTAAATGTTACTCACAGTAAAAGTCAGACGTGGTCGAGTGCCCCCCAAGATTGAAGTGGTGACGCTGCAGACGGAGTGTGTGATAACGGTGATGTTCCCCGACAAAAAACATCCTTGCAGAGGGACGTAGTCGACCAGCGTCATCTCTTGAAGGAAATATTGAACCTCGTCCTGAGGTGGGGCTACCGTTGTTGTTATGTTCGTCGTGTTACTGTAGAAGTCGTCAATGGACAGTGTGTTGTTTGGGATGTTTTCATCTTCGGTGACCGTTACGTTGACTGTCAGAAGCCGAGCACCTGGAAGGAAAAAAAAACACAATAGAAATCAGACAAATTGATCTAACATCAACCCTTTCTGATAAGTATGGGTGCTAATTTTATACCAAAGTGTACACTTATTGGGTGCTTCTGGAAGTAATTAGTTTGATCGATCCATGATTAGTTTAGTGAATATTTCATGATCTATGAATCGATGGTTTTACGAACTCCAATAAATGTTGTGCCATTAAGTTTTTAAAACAATTTGTACAGAGAAGTTCTTAAAATAAAGATATCATTTGAAAAATGATGAAAGCATTCTTAAGTCCCTGCTTGTGCCCACCTTAGGTAAGGCAACGACACACCCAAAACAGTTATGAAAGAAACGTTCGTTCATATAAATTATGTCAATTTTTATATCGGTCTATAGACATCGGACATGTCGTACGAGAAACCTTAAGACCGTATAAAAATAGAATCTCTCTCATCAGAACATGAAAAAATATATCAAATAGGAAAAAATTGATGATTTTTTTTTCCATTTTACTTTATCAAATTATGCTTCTTTTCAAATAGGAGGAATTATTTATATTTTTTTTCTCTATTGATCGACTAAGTCAAAATATGCATTTTCTTCATACTGAAAATTAAACTTAATTTTTTAAAGCAATATTTTGAAAAATAGGAAGAATTTTAAAAATTGCCTTTTTTTTTTTGGTACTGTCTTTAAATTCGCTTATAAACAATGTCTCAATAATCTAATCATATCTAAACATCTTTCCTTCATAACATCTTCTGTACCGGTAGTGTGACCTCGTCGCTTATCAGATCCAATACTTTTACTTACCACTCGGTACGTCGACTGTTAACTGAATCGGTACCGAGGTGCTGTGTGATGGAACAGGGTCACTCTGAGTCTCATTTTCAACCATGACGGTCACGTTGACCTCGAAGTCATTGTCGTTGGTTACATAAATATAGCGTCCACAGGACGATAATGCCGGGGAGTTGATGTAAATGACATCGCCTTCATCCCCTGTAATGGTGATTCCTGCAAGCTGAGCGCTACTGTGCGGCAGAATGAGCAGCAAACCAAAGAGACAACCTGTGACCATCAAATTTAATATATATTATGTAAATATTTAAAAACAAAATTATTTATATTTGTTGGGGGGTGAGTATTAGTTGCATATTATAAAAGAAACATTTCTTATAATAAAATAGCAGTGACCCGAAAGTCACGTCATATAGAAAGGACATACTAATCTTATTCATTCAGCTGTTGACCACTTATTTTCTATCTAACACACAACTCCAGCTTACTGGGTTTATAGATATTTAATTATGACAGACAACACAGGGGCAGCTGCCGTTCCATTTACACAAAATAGTCATGATTTAAGAATGAGCGCAATTGTGCATTTGCCCATTCCTCTGAAAAATGGGCAAGCAATAAATGAAATAGTTATTAAAACGAGAAGCTTGTTAAGGGACATCACTAGACGCTTGTCAGGGGACATCACTAGAAGCTTGTAAGGGGACATCACTAGAAGCTTGTTATGGGACATCACTAGAAGCTTGTAAGGGGACATCACTAGAAGCTTGTTAGGAGACATCACTAGAAGCTTGTTAAGGGACATCACTAGAAGCTTGTAAGGGGACATCATTAGAAGCTTGTTAGGAGACATCACTAGAAGCTTGTTAAGGGACATCACTAGAAGCTTGTTATGGGACATCACTAGAAGCTTGTTAAGGGACATCACTAGAAGCTTGTTAGGAGACATCACTAGAAGCTTGTATGGGGACATCACTAGAAGCTTGTTAGGGGACATCACTAGGAGCTTGTTAAGGGACATCAGTTAATACAATTAAAAACTTGATGTGATTGAAGTTCAATAGATCAGATTTTTACATTTTAATCTTGTTATTAGTGATAGTTGTTTTCAAAATTGTTCTATGCCCCACACAATACGTCATTTGGGGTAGGGTGTGGTATTTCCCCCACCCCCTGAATTTGTAGACTTTATTTGAATTGCTATGTACTGTTGCACCTCCTGTAATAAAGAATATTATAAGTTTTGGTTTTGTCCCCCTCCCCTTAAATAGCGTGAAACGACGCCCCTGGCTCCGCACCCACTGGGTATTGTTTCGACCCCTTAAAAAAGTAACAAAGCATTTTTTTTTTAAATAAAAAAAATCCAAGATGTTAGTTTTCTAATTTGTTCCTTGGGTCATATAGAGAATTTTAGAGCTTTGAGTATAAACTTGTAACATTGGTTAAATGAACATAACAATGAAGAATAACTATTCATAATACTTACAGATCAAAATTCATATTATAACCTAAGCGACAATGGCTTTTTCTGTTTCTCGAATCTCTTTCCCCACAACACATAAAGTGCTACCATGCACCTTCCCCCCCCCCCCAAGGGGGTGAGAGCACTCGTGGTCGGGGGATCGTCGTATGAATTAAACCCTAATTGTTACTCACCTCGGTTTAAGAGCGCCATGTCATCCTCCAAGTTTTTGTTACGCCTATTTGTCAAACTTCACGTCCTCGGAATACTTAGAGCATTTAAGATAGACA